GGAGTGGCTGGTGGGTTTGAACCACCAGCCTTCTGGTTAGCAGTCAAGTGCGTTAGGCGCTATGCCACCAGAGCCCCCTGACATGGGCAGTAGACCAAAAAGTAAAAGCTAAAACAAGAAACCTTCTAAATAAATTGCAGGAGAAAGTCTTTCTGATCTTGGGCAAAGATTTCTTAGGACACAAACAGCATTAATTCTAAAAGGAAAAAATAAAGGGGATAAACTGGATTTCATCAAAATTACAAACAGATACCCTTATGAAAATGAAAAGGCAAGTTGCAGATGTGGATACAGTAAAATAACTATAAAACGGTTCACTTTAAAATGGTTCATTTTATGTCAGTCCTCAACGAGATGGGTTGACCCAGTGGCTGCAGTGAAGGGCTCAGGTGTAGCAAGGAGCATGGGGCCGGTGCAGGACGGGGCAGTGCTTCGTGCTGCTGTGCATGGGGTCGCTGTAAGTCAGAGCTGACTCGACGGCACCTGACAACAACAACAACAACAACAACATTTTATGTCACGTGAATTTCACCCTGATAAAATCAAATGCATGATATAACATGAAATTTCCCGACAAAGGCCTTATATGCAGAATATGTAATACAGATGTAAAAATGGTGTGGGACCCTGTGTCTAACCTCACCAAGATCAGCATCAGCCCCAAACCGGTCCCTAGAAGCCTCTTCTCTCCAACCTTTTGACCGACTCTGACCCCAGCCATCCCTCCCACAGCACGCTCTGTTCCTCTGCAGGGTTGGAGAATTCACTGCAGTGGCTACACACAACTCACAGACCACACTCAGAGTTACTGGGTTTATGAAGGAAGTAACAGGTTACAACTCGGGTTCAGGCACACTTTTCCAGTCAGGACAGCTTCTTGGCTGTGCCCACAGACAGGCCTCTCCCTGGCCCTCAGCCCCTCAGGCTGGCCTCTGCCCTGTTCTGGGCAAGTGTTACAAAGTCCTTCAGCTCTATCAATAAGTGCCCGTGGGCACTCCCACTCTGCCAGGAAGCCTTGACCTGAATGCACTCGGCTCTCTCGCTCCATGGGTCAGAGGTCACTGTAACCACCTTGCTCACTGGGCCCGGAAGTCACTGCATTGTCTCCCGGTTCTGCTGTTGCCATTTCTGGGCCATCACCCGCCGTCTCTGGTGTTACAGCTCTCTCTCTGTGTCTCCTGGGTCTCAGAGGTTCCCAGTCCAGGGACCTTGGCTCCAAAGGATGGACTGTGTTCCTGGCTTTTCTTCTTGATGATAGTGAGCTCCCCATCTCGCTGCTGGGATCACCTCCCTTTAAGCCTAGCAAGATGGCAAAACTGACTAATCCCATCAATGAGGGTGCCATGCACTTAATTTGCAGGGGCTCACTCCCATAAAGGTGCCATGCACCTTCTTTGCATTGTTGGCAAGCTGTCCAATCCCCTTGGTAGGCCACATGCATCTTTTTGCATCATCTCACCCAATTATTTTGTGAAAGTCCCCAAGACTATGGCAGGAAGGGGCCATATTAAGTAATTCGCTGCACTGCAATATACAAACTCCTGTGACTCAATAATAAGAAGATAAATATTCTAATTTTTAAAAAATGTGGGCAAAAGATTTGAATAGACGTGTCACCAAAGATGACACAGAAACAGCTGATGAGCATGTGAAAAGATGCTCACCATCATTGGAGTGACAGAGAGCAGAGCAGGAGCCTGGCCTGGGTGAGCGGCACGGAGATAAATGATGATGGAGAGAAAGTAAGAAAGATGAGAGAGAGTGAGTGAGCGGTGAATTGGGGAATTCTGCACAGCATTCCTGCAGCTGTTCGGTGAGCTTGAAATCATTTCAAAGCATAACATTAAATAGAAAGCAACTGCTTCCAGTCACCATTGTACTGGAGGTTCTAGGGAGATAAGCCAGAAAAGTAAAAGGGCTCCCTAGATTCAGCAGGAAGAAGGAAAAGTATCTCTGTGTGCATACGACCTGATGTTGTCTTTAGAAAACCCTAAGGAATCCGCTCAAATACTATTAAAGCTGAAACCAGTTCAGTAAAGTTGCAGGATGCAAGAACCACATACAAAAATCAGTTCTATTCTATACATTCATAATGAACAATCCAAAAAGGAAATTGAGAGAACAATTACATTTACAACAGCATCCAAAAAAATAAAAATAATAAAATACATAGCAATACATTTAACAAAAAAGTGCAAGACTTGTACACTGAAAACTATAATACATCATTGAAGGGAATTGAAAAAGACCTAAATAAATGCAAAGGTGTCCTGTGTTCATGGATTGGAAGGTGTAATATTGTTAAGACAGCAATATTCTCCAAACTGATATATAGAGTCAATGCTATCAAAATCCCAACAAGTTTTTTTGCAGAAATGGAAAAATTGATCCTCAAATTCACATGTAATTTCAAGGGAGCCCAAATAGCTAAAACAGTCTCGAGAAAGAACCAACTGACACCTCTTGATGTCAAAACATACTACCAAGCTACAATGTTCACGACAATGTGGTACTGGCATAAAGACAGACTCACAGATCAAAGGAATGGAGTTCAGAGTCCAGTAATCAACCAAGAGATCACAAATACTAGTCAGCTGATTTTTCACTATCGGATGGGGAAGGAATAGCTGGGACAACGCGATATCCACAGGCAAAAGAATGACCTTAGACCCATACCTCACACTCTCCCTCCGCAAGCACTGACTTAAAATGGACAATGACCTAAGTGTAAGAGCTAAGTGTATACAACTCTGAGAACGAACACAGGAGCAAATCTTCAAGACACTGAGTTCCTCAAGGAATTCTTAGCGATGATACCAAAACTATAAGCCACAAAATAGAAAAAGTAGATAAACTGGACTTCAACGAAATTAAAAACATTTGTGTTTCAAAGGACGGTACCAAGACAATTAAAAGGCAGACTAGAGAACGGGGAAAATATTTGCAAATCATGTATCTGCTACGGGACTTGTATCTAGAATGTGAAAGGCACCGTTGTTGTTAGGTGCCGTCAAGTCGACGCCAACTCATAGCGACCCCATGGCCGACAGAGCCAAACCCTGCCCGGCCCTGCGCCATGCTCCCAGTCCTTGCTGTGCTTGAGCCCGGTGTTGCGGCCCCCACGTCAGCCTGTGTCCAGCGGCTTCCCCTTTTCCCCGACCCTCGGCTGTGCCCAGTGCGCGCTGCGTCGCAAGAGCACTCGGAAGCACCAGCTCTTCTCCTGCTCACTGGCCAGCTTGCACGAGCGCAAGGCAACTGGACGCAGCGTGGCCCGAGTCGCACCAGCACCTTCAAGATGCCGCCTGTGCTCTTCGACGCCTGAGAGAGATCTTGGGCAGATGGGCGCAGTGCAACGCGACGTCTGAGTTCTTTCCTTTTCCTTTCTTTCTTGTTTTTTTAATAGCAACCCCCGAGGTGGCAAATCTTTTAATTTTACTTTTATTGTGATTTGGGTGAAAGTCTGCAGAGCAAATCCATTTCCCATACAGCAGCTGATACACATTTTGTCTCGACATTGACTGCAACGCCCCTGTAACAGCAGCGCTCTTCCCACTTCCTCCCCATAGTTCCCTCTTCCCTGTGTCTTTGCCCCCAAGCGCTCCTGCCCCCTGAGCTCTCTCCCTGTGCAGACACCGCTCCTCTGTTCTCCCCTGATTGATCTCACCAAGGAGTGAATATACCTGATGTGAGGTTCAGCCCACATGCCTGTCTTGTCTTTGACTGAAAGCCACGGGAGTGAGTTCACTTCCAGACCTGAGGCCTGAGTTCCAGGCTCTGGCTAGGGGCCCTAGTCTCAGGGCTTTCACCAGGCTCTAGCAGACCAGCAAATCTGGTCTTTTTTCAGTTTTTCAATGATTTTGAGTTTCTTCACTGTGGCTTCCATGGGTGTGGCTGTGTATCCAAGTAACATGAGAACTTAGACAACTTCCACCCGATCTCCATTCGTTGTGATGCTGTTTATTGGTCCAGCTGTGAGGATTTTCATTGTCTTTATGTTGAGGTGTAATCCATATTGAAGGCTGTAGTCTTTAATCTTCCTCAGTAAGTGCTTCAAGTCTTCTTCACTTTTAGCAGGCAAGGGTGTGTCGCCTGCATATTGCACGTTGTTGATGAGTCTTCCTCCAATCCTGACGCCACGTTCTTCTTCATATAGTCCAGCTTCTCAGATTATAAGAGCTCTGGTGGTGTAGTGCCTAAGGCATTTGGCTGCTAACCAGAAGGTGGGTGGGTCTAACCCACCAGCCACTCCTCAGAAGGAAGGTTGGGCAATCTATTTCTGCAGTGATACTGCCTCAGAAACCCAAAGAGGGGTCGCTATGAGTCGGGGCCGACTCGACGGCATATAACAACAACAACAACATATAGACTGAGTAAGTATGGTGAA